GTAACCTAACAGTGGATCTTGATGGCATGTGTCTTCAGTAGTATTGAGAAGAATGTAATTTTAAGGCTTTATTTGAAATTGCAGTATAGTAAATGTCAAATTCGAATGCAGATATTTCCAACTGTTTTGTCTCTCTGAATACAAAGTTCAGAGCCAGGTATCTTATAGCTATACATTTTAAAAATGTAGGTTACCTTAGGCAGAAAAAAAACCCGATTGTGTTTCCTTCCACCTTCTTTCAAATTTCGTTATTCCTAAATGAGATGTATTTGAAGGTTTAAACTGCAGGGCAGTTAAAACAGATTCACTTTATTTGCCTGGAGTATCTTAATCATTGTTCTAACCTGCTTACCTGGGCACGTGTTCATGTAAACCCTATGATGTAATGGTTTCATGGTAGTACTATAGTACTAGAGGCACATAATAACCATGTCAAGCTTTTTTTTTTTTTTATTCACTGTTTAAAAGCTTTGTGCCTCAGAACGGTTCTGAAGTTTTGGTGTGTGTACCTCTAAGTTTGTCCCTACTAGTAAGGAGTGTTTCAAGGTGTAATGTTTAGATTTTAAGTTTAATTCTTTAGTCTGCCACAGCAGGGATTGGGAATGCTATAGAAGCAATATGCTCTGTCCCTAAGAAGAAAGCACATTGCTTTCAAGTGGGTTCTTAGCTTCTTTTCTAGCTAACCCCAAGGAAGGGCTTGGGTGGCCTCCAGAGGAGGAGGCATTTGGCTATGCTCTAAAGTTTTTGGAGAGGGAACTCTGGAGAATCTTAACACTTTCTTCTGTCTCATGTTTTATTACATTTAGCTATACATTTCTTCACAGACCTTGCTTTTTCCAGCAGAAGGGTTGGATTATCCCTTTGTGGACCATGTTTTATTTGTAAATCTTAAGAGAGTTTTCCTTTATACCATGAAGTAGTAAGGCCAGAGTTACTGCTGCAAGGGAAGTGGGGGTGGGAGGGAGGAATGTTTTCACATGCACACACTTGGGATTTGTGCATGTTAGGAACATACGTATTTCAAAGAGTCTGCCAGTGTCTTAAGCACTATATGTGGCTATATGAAACGAAATTAAGAGAAAATAGATGAGCTAAAATCTGTTGTGCTGCAGAACTATAAGGCTTATGTGGATTTTATTTATTAAAAAAAAAAAGAAAAAAGAAAAAAGAAAAGCTTACATCACCAGACATGCTGCTTAAGCACTTGGGGTAGCAATACATCATTTTGCCATTAGGCGGTATCAAAACACAAGACCACTAGAAAAATAGGTCTGCAAAGATCCACAGGCAGGCTTCGTCTTCATGTGCAAAGCTTAAAACTTTTTTTTTTTCAAAAAAAAACCACAAATTACTCATCTCCAAACCATTTTCAACTTGCTAAACTTTCAGAAAAGTCTTCTTTGGTGTCTTTGAGAAGATGATAAAATACTGACTCTTGATCAGTCTGTTTTGATCAGATGCAGTGGACTGGTTCAGACCCCTCCAAGCTCTGAGAGGGGATCTGGAAAAGTCGTGATTCTGCAGAGATCCTTTAGAGAAGGAAGTCAGGTCCTTCAGAGTAGTTGTCAGAAGGAGTGGAAGTGGGGCCCCAAACTTCCTGGCCGGCTGGGATCATTTTGAAGCATGTGTATTGTGGTGGAATTTTAGGTTTTGGTTGTGGGGGGTTTTTTTGGTGGTTTTGTTTTGGTTTGTTTTTTAAATTCCTGTGGAGACAATTCCATTCCAGCATTGTTTTAATACGGGGAATTTTTCAGGTTGGGCCTAATTCCCTTGTGCTGTTCTGTAAGGCATTATGGACAGTCTCCCCCACTGCTCATGCTATGGTTTCTGCAGTGTTGAACATACTGTGCCAGTGGGGAATTTAAGTGGTGCTAAATGGTTTGGAAGATTTTTTCCTAGAACTTGGGGGTTTAAGTTATTAGCACTTGCTCCTTATAAGTAGTGTGCACATAGTGTACTATCCTCAAGTCCAGCTGTCAACTCTTTTCCTGATTTTTTTTTTTTTGTTGTTATTTGGTTTTGAGGGGTGGAGTAGGAAGAAGGGGGATGTGGTTTTCTTAGCATTCATTCAACAGAGCAACGTAAAAGTCTTATTATCCTGGCTCCTTAAGGTTATAAACATCGAACAACATCGGTAGCTTTTAAGGGGCCTGCAATTGTGAACTTGGATAAATTTATTAATCATGAACTTAAGTCAGTTGGCTAATTTCTGTCGATGTTGATTTTACAAAATCTTTGTAGCATGGAATAATTGATGAAGAATAATTCTTAGCTGCGTAAGTAGTATGCAAATTTAAAGAAAAATAATATTTTAGTTGAAGAATGTTGTGAAGCTATGCATCTTGGACCTGGGAGCTGTGACTTATTCTTAAACGCATAAGCTTTGCTTTCCATTTTATTTTAGCTTGGTTGTTCCATCAGAAGTGGAAGAAAATATTTATGTCTTTCCCTTTTATATGAATTTGCTTAATACTTTCTCTGATAATTTCTCTCAGCTTGTTTGGTTTCTGAAGCTAGTCTTTCAATCTTATTCTAGTTTATTAGACTTACCTAGAAAGTGAGGAGGAAACAGCTTGTTAAGATGGGATTGTTTTCAGAGAACATTTTAGGGAACTCTTACTAAACCTGAAATTGCCAAGTGTCTCCACTTGATTGAGTGACTAATGAATGGGTCATGAGCCTATTAAACTTGAATATTTTGCAAATGGGAGCTAGTTTCCTCAAGGTATGCATTCAGAGTTAGTAAATATTCTTGAGGTTGCATGCTTGAGCTCTGACCTATTTGCTTCTGACGCTTAGTCAAGAATAATAAATCAGCTGTTCTGAGAATCCTTCTTGTTGTTGCAAGTTCAGCCACAAAATAAGCTTTTTGCATCTTCTGCAATTATTGGGATTTATGCCTTCCTGCCCAAGAGCTGAGTTTGACCACCTATAATTTTTCTCATTTTGAGCAGTTTAGTTTTTCTGGTTTTCAGAAATGCAGCAAACTAGATCTGTACTAGTGTATTCAGTTTCTGCTTTGAAGTAAGATGAAATTCAGTTTGTAGTATAAAGAATCTCTTCTAATGTTCATCTTGGAAATCTAAATTCAGGTGAACAGACCAATTTAGTGAGCTCCACTAGATACTTGGTAGACATTTTCTTCCTGCTGTATATTTTGGCCCTATGTTGAGGAGTTTGATTTATCGTTAAATTATTTGTGTATGCAGACTTTAATCTGTATGTATTTTACTTTGATGTATTAGGAATTGTACATATTACTGATTTTTAAATATTATTTATGCACATACTTAAAGGACTGGTCTATCCAGAAAAGCAATTGCTAAATAATAAATGTTACTTTTTAGAAATAAATTGCAAGATCACTAAATTGTATATCCCTCAGGGTTATTTTTAAAGTGTTTTTTTTCTCTTCCCTTCAGATTCAGTTAGCAGTAACTCTAGTTTCATCTACTATAGAACTAAATCTACTGTAAAAAGAAAATGCTGCGAATAATGCTTGAGTAGAAGCGGCTAAAACACCCACAGAACTGACTGTCCATATTCATCATAACTTTCAATTGGAAACTTTACTGTTGCACTTTTAAAAAGTTGTTGGATTTTTAGTTCTATTTATTTTTTCTTTCTTCATGAAGGTTGTGCTGATCAGTCATCCCAAATTGGGTAAATAATCCTGTACTGTATATGTATATACAGTATAATACTAAGCAGATGTGGAGTCCTTTTTATGCTGCAAATTTTCAATGTTTATGTTGGTCATCACAAAATGAGAGAGCTAAAGTTCTGTAGGATTTCTCCCATGAAATTCTAAATTGTAAACTTAGGTTTTTGTATGTCTAAGGGAAAGCTGTGGGTTTTTGACAATTTTTAGAGTCTTGAATATGTTGATTTTATACAGTAAAGCTTCAGGTTTTTAAAGCTATTTTCAACAAACTGCAGCTTGTTTGATAATTATGTGAACCAGAAACTACTCAGTTTGTCCTGAATTCCTCAAGCCTAACATAAATTAAAAGGTTCATCATTACAGTGCTCTCTAGAAGCTCAGCTTCCTTTTTATTTTTAGATCTGAAATGATACTACATCTTTGTATTTAAAATATGTATTGCTGCTCTAGAATGGTACCCTGTTGTCAAGAGGCATACATAAATAACTGTACAATAGAATTGTAAATAGACTTGTAAATCATTTTTGTGACTGATGCTCTTTGAAAATAAAATTAAAATGAACAGATATTTTAACTCTTTTCATTAGTTTCATGAAATTGTTTTCAATTAGTCTTTATACAATTAGATTCAAAGCTTGTTGAAGAATACAGACTTAACTCTCACCAGTGTCATGGGTATCTTGTTCAGTGCCTCTCTATTTTTGAAGATGGGCGTGGAGAAGTATGTGTGCTGTGTGCTAGCAGTGCATACAGTAGCACTACTGTTCTGCCGTGGGACAATATAGACCGTACTTTACCTGGTAGGTTCTGAGAGCTATTTTAAAGCCAGACCTTGTACATGTGATAGGGACTTGTTTTCACCTTCTGTTATCCAGATGTTCCTTCTGTTCTTTGACGTGTGGGCGGCATTATCTTGAAAAGACTCTAGGGCAAATGTTCCTGGTTGTGAGCTGTCACTGTTGTCGCAGTCCTCTTCAGAAAAATCACAGAGAAATGAAGACATCTTTTCCATCCTGCGGCTCACATTCCATTTAACCATTCATTGGCACAGCACATGATTTTAAACTTGAAGACAAGATACTTGAAATACCTGATTACTTAATTACAAAAACTTGATCTTCAATTTCAAGCTAATATTTTTATAACTTAAAGCTTTTCTCTCTTCAGAATCTTTCAGGCTTTAGGTTTTGTTGGCCTGTGACTCCAGAAGGCTTGGAGGAAAAACAGAAGCCAAATGGGTCAACCCTGGATTGCTTAGCCAAAGCGTTAAGTAGAAAAACCTTCATTCCTTACTCAAATTGACTCCAATCCTGCAAGAAAGTGAAAGTCAGAGCAGCCTTGTGAAGGTACATATCAATCACTTGGTTGTTTAAAGTAGATGTGTGCCCTCCTTCAAAACCTAATGCACCTATGTAGCAGATTGTGATAAAACTGTCTGACAAATTTGAAATTTCTGTCACGATTCATGTTGAAATGTAGATTTCTGACTTTACTTCGATTTGCATTGGGTTGGTTGAAGCACATACTCCAATATCACTGTCAAAAAAGCTACAGGTGTTTTTGTGCTCTTGCATGTGTGACTTCAAACTTTCTCCTGTTCTGTGAGTGGTCTCAGATTCTACTTTCGGAGTTGCATACAACCTATGGGAGCTGGTTGGTTACGCAACTAAGCGTAGGCAAAATCTGCTCTGAAGCTTAAAATATGCTTTGGCCTTTCACAGTAGTTACAAAATATGGATGAAAGTGTTATCTAGAGGATGCGTTTTGCTGTTTTACTTCCCATTTAAAGTGCAGAATCATGGTGAAGCCTGATTGTAAGTTCCTCTTCTAAGGTACAGTTCAAAATTGCTTTTTTCATGCTCATACGAGCTTAGAAACTTGCAAGAACGTAAAAATAAGCACCATAGTAAATGATATGCATGCTCTGTATTCTATGAAACTAAGTTCAAAACTGATCTGACTTTTAATATAGTAACAGTATTAATGTATTGCTTCTGACATCCGTTCATAGTCTTGACAAACATTAAGAGGGGGGTAGAAAGGGAAAGGGGCTGTAGCCAGCACATGGTAAATGACCAGCCAGGCTGGTGTCTTTCTGGAATGTCAGGTGTCTCATGTGAGAGTTTGAGAAAAGTTTAATACACAGGAATGTATAATTATGACCCTTTTGTGGAAGTTACTGTATGCTATTAAAATCTTTAGTTATGGAAGTTTAAATATTTCTTAAAAAAATACCATTAGCAGCTCTAGATGTTTGAGATCCATAGGATTATGCAGTTCCTGTGCCCATCATACACTTGTGGCCTAAATCTCTTGCAAAGACTTTCTACCTTTTCATTGTTTGTTTGTGAAAATGTATGTCTTCTAGCACTTCTGAGTGTCTCACCTTGTCTCGTTGAATACTTTCTTACCTTTTGTTATGAGACCATGAAAATGGACATCCCCAGTCTACAGTCTAGGGTTAGCCCGTTTCTTATTTTACAGACTGGCCTACAGTCATACCCTGTGAGGGTCCTGCATTTGCAGTCTGTAGCATAACAATTGTTTGGGGTTTTGTCCCCATTTGATTCTCTAGGTCCTCATTTCTCTTGTCTCAATCCTGTAGTTCTGCTGTGGTTTTGAGTTGAGTTAGTGCAGGTTGAGATGCCAATCAGGGCTTGAAACAGCAATTTCTTGGTGCATTTCTGGCCTGCATGGAGGGGTTTGCTCATGCACGGCTGAGAAGCGACTCACCGGCTGCCTGCTCTGTGTGCTGGGGGCTGTGGTGCTGGCCGTGGGTGCACAGGGATGTGCTCATTGTCAGCGTGCTGAGGTGGGCATAGGTAGGATCCAGGGACAGGCTGTCTTACGAGTTTATTGAGGTGAAGGCATCACTGGTTCATGAGAGATGGTCAGTTTTGGATTGGAGGGGATTACTAGGAGGGAGGGATTCTCTGCAAGATTCTTGTTTGACATGGAAAAGTCCTTTGGAAGGGTGAAATCTCGTAGCCTTTTTTTGGTGACTTAGTCTCATTCAAAGATCTGTAGAAAGCCCAGTGAGAGCTTGCTTTCCAGCACCATGTTGCTTGTAGTTGATACCACTAGATGCTGTGTCCTTCCCTTCCTGAGGAACGGATGCAGATGTTACCAGTCTTCAGTACTCTGAACCTAAGCAAGAATAATTCCTTTTTTTTTTTTTCAAAGTACTGAATTTTCCGTTTTTTGATGCAGCAGCTGTTTTTAATCCATGGTGGTATGTTCTTGTCAGCAGTGCAGGCATGTGAGAAGCTCTGCTATCCCACCTGACTTCTTTTTAAGTGATGGGGTTTGTACCTGTGTCTGTTTATGGGCTTGGTTGGTATGGGAGAGCTTCATCCTTGCCCCTGGAAAAAGGTATGTTGGGATGAAGCCCTCCTCTCCCCCAGTGTTCTCAGTGCTGAAGACCAACATGATGTCGGCTATTCCAGTTACGTCTGCAGAACTTGTCCAGCTATTCCAGCAGTCCCAGCTGCTGCTTCTCCTACTGATCAGCCAGGTGCTTGACTTCCAGGTTTCTGATACACTTGGACTTGTTGATTTCACTAAGGAAGTATTTCTAAACTGTGGATTTTGTTTGACTTGCTCTTTTAAATATTATCATTATAGCTACAATGATTGCTTTCCTGTTCCTTTTTTTTTGTTTGGAAATCTATACAACTTTCCAACTTTGTGGTATGTTTCATGCAGATCTACCTTTATTGCTACAGCTTTCTAGCTAACTTCATGGCACTTCTTTCCTCTCATTTCATCATATTTTTAATACCGCTGATAAGTTAGTATTGTGTTAAGCTGTTGAAATGAGACTCGTTGGTTATCTGAGGCTCACTACTGTCCTGTGCTATGCAAACTCTTGTGTGTTGTTTCAGGCTATGTCAAAAATAGCCCGTTGCTTCTTGTGTGTTCTTGGGCTGTTCCAAGAAGCGATCACTTGCAAATACTGAAAGATGATTTAACAGAACTGTGTGCTGTTCTGCCTTGGGCCACTTAAAATATATGACACCCTTTTTACCTCCATTATGTATTTTTGCAGGCTAAACTTTATTTTTAAGCCTCAAGTAACCTACAATAAAAAAATATTGTCGGTGCAGGACCTTTTGATAATTTTTTTTTAAAAGACTTTCTTTGTGTAACTTAGGATAATGCTTTTCTGTTCAAATAAATAGGTACCTTATGACTACTTAAGAGTTTCATCATGATTTTCATATGCTTTTATTATGCTTGACTAGTACAAATATAAACAAGGAATACTTGATTTACAGAAGAGCTTTATCTGTACTTCTCAGTGTAAGCTGAGCAGTGTAGAAATATTTGCAGTCAACAGTAATAGAGATTTTGAAGTTTGCTTTCAAGTCAAGAGAAATTTTGCACACATTTGCAAGTTTTATGATATATTCACACAACTTTATCGGCTGCTAAGTTATTAACTACCTGTGATCGAATTCTGACTCTCTCTTGTCTCTTGTAACAGCTAATGTTTCTGGTGCTTCAACAGCGATGTTGGTGTTCCGTTTGTCAGTGATGATCAAGCTTTTCTTCCAATTGGATGCATCTATTTGTCCTGAGAAGTGCGACTGTTCTTCAAAAAATGCAATTTATTGCTCTGGTCCTCACATAAAAGACCTGGAATCGTTAAATCTGCCTTGCAACATGACAGCAATTCACATAACTGACACTAATGTAACATACTTGCAGGATGTTTTTTCTAGGATGGTGGAACTGCAGCATCTCATCTTGTCTTCAAACAACATCTCTCTGATTTCACCAATGGCTTTTAAAGGCTTGAGAAGGCTAAAAGCCCTCAAACTGCTAGATAATAAGCTGGTCGAGCTTCCCCTGGAAGTGTTTGATGACATGGTACAGCTTCAGCAATTGATCCTTGAAAATAACAGGTTGAAGTCCATTGAAGAAAATCAGTTTGACAAACTAGCTAGTTTGGAGGAACTTTTCTTGAACAAAAACCGACTGACAGCACTTCCTAGTGGCGTGCTGAAGAAACTTGCCAAACTCAAAGTACTGAACTTGTCGAGAAATTATTTGGCAGCACTGCCTAGAAATATATTTAATGCATTAACCAGGCTTGAGAAGCTGATGCTGTATTTTAACAGACTGTCTTCAATAGAGTCTGGTATGTTTGACAGCCTGAAGGAGCTGCTGGAACTCTTCCTGCATTCCAATAACATCCAGTCCATCGCTCCTGATGCATTTCATTATCTTCATAAACTGAGAACCCTAACGCTGTCCAGAAACAAGCTTGAGGTTTTGCCTCCTGGCCTCTTTCTGCACTTGCATGACCTGTCTAAATTGACCTTATACAGGAACCCACTGAAGTCTCTTCCAGGAGTATTGTTTGGAGAAATGAGGCATCTTGGTAGCCTATGGCTGTATCACACGAAGCTCTCAACAATACCAGATTTTGTGTTCAGCAACTTGACAAATTTAGAGCTTCTTGTGCTGAGTTTTAATCCAGAGCTTAGTGTTCTTCCTAAGAATGTGTTCAGTGGTCTGAATGAACTGCGGGGCCTTTCTCTGCATACAAATAATATATCTAGTTTGCCAGAGGGCATCTTCCTGAGCCTTCAGAAACTGCAGAACATTTCCCTTTTTGATAAGAGGCTCGAGGTTCTTCCTAGAAACCTCTTTCATAATCTCAAGCACCTTCAGAAAGTTTACCTGAATAGTACTAAGCTGCAGTCTCTTCCTGGAGACTTCTTTACCACTTTACCTGAGCTGCAGGAAGTCTTCCTTGACAACAACCCTTGGAAATGTGATTGCCAAATTCTTGGCTTCCGAGAGTGGCTCCAAAAGAGCATGGAGATAGTTAAAAATGTGCCATCTCTGATATGTCACAGCCCATTGGCCCTACAGAACATTTCTCTTGTGGCTCTACCTGTTGATCACCTGAAGTGCCTGTCAACCACAGCCCTTGCATACCAGATGTTCAGCTCAACTTATTCCCAGACTTTGACTTCTCTTGCGATGGAGCACTTAACATCATCTTGGGAGCCTACTGTAACAGCAGGGTCCGACATGGATACCAGCACACCCACATCAATTCCTCTTACAACTCTAGGTTTTACCTACTCACATGTTGAAGATGTTGGACAGCCTAGGTTTCATTTCTCAGATGTTCACACCCAGACTTCTCCCAGTGTCGTAGTACAAACCAACAGTGTCAGAGGAATAGATTTAACTACTCTTGCCTGGTGGGATGAGTTGCCAGCTCCCAGAAGTGCTAAATCCCATTTTAATACCAGAGTTGCTTATTGTCAGCTCTTCTTGTGTCTTCACAGTTTGATTTTAGCACTCCAGGCTGTAACCATTGTGCTCACTCTGTATGTGATGGGTAAAACCAGGCAACTCTTGCACTCCAGAAACACTCCTACTCATGCTGTAGTTCTGATAAAATTTTTAAGAAGATAGAGAATACCAGCCAAAGAGAGGATTACAAGCATTGTTTTGGATCCATTGTGAGCATTTGGGCAGATGATACTTGATTCAGATATGAATTACAGATCTTTATAGCAAGAACCGTAAAGACCTTGTCTTTGCAGCATAATGAACATGCACTTTTATGTACCTTAGTGTTTGCCAAAAGTGATTGTAATCGCTGTTTATTGCTACAGCACTTAGTGCATGAACACAGAGGGGGAACTGAAAGAAAATCTGTGGTCACCTCTACGCGTGTACTACTAGTTCCTGCTTTGGACTGCAGCCCTGTCCCTGCCAGACACTGCTGCCTGCTGTGGTGCTCACACTGCTCAGATGGAAGTGGCATCAACATAGGAAAGTCTACAAAGGAATACGACTTTATCCATGCTTTAAAGGTTGCCCATAGTACTCCAGGTGCTATTATGCCTTATATTGTCTGCAATGTTTTGTCTCCTTATTAAGAAAAGAAATGGTATTTTGGGGAGGAGATGCTGGAAAAGACCTGTTACAAACAGGGTGGGGGAAGAATGATATGGTGTAAGTGTCTTGGTTTTTGCTTTCTGTCCTCAGCCCCTTTCCAGGATATGGCAGGAGGAAGGAGTACCATGGAAAGCTAACAGGGCTTTCGACTAGCTTAACTAGAGGAAGATGAGTAAGATGTTGGGCTAGGAAGTATAATCTTGATGTATTTTGTTGCTTGTTTTTTTGGACACTTTGTAAAGTTACAACAACTCTGAATTTTAAGTGAACACTTTCATCCTTAAACTTTGACCAGTGGTCTGAAAAGCAAGGTGTTACTCGCTGCATGATACAGTGAGTCTTGGAACAGGAGCACCAGGCAGATGCCCAGGACTGAGGCTTGGCTCCACAGGAGTGCACTTGGTCTGAGAGCTGGTCTTGACTGAGCTGGGAGAGAAAGGGATGGACTCTCCTGGGCTTGGCTAGCAAAACACAGGTGTGCAGCAAAGCAGCAGGGAACCTGCCTGAACTGAGGACCCTGAAGTGTCACCACCTTTTTTGAAGGTGGCTGGGTACATGTCTCCATCAAATTGCAGTGCACAGTAGCATATTCAGCTTTGGTATTTTTTTACCTTTTCTTACTACATAGTATTACTCTCTGACTTCCAGCCCTTTTAAGTGTTGATGTGCAAAGGCAACTTTGAGGCAATAGTGTGGGTTTTGGTCTTCTGCTGAAATGTTTATTAGCATTTTGAATTATATAAATATTTTAGTTTGTAAATAGACTGGTAGCTCTCAGACTGCATGTGCTTTGGTGCTCTTGGATTTAACTATTAGCTTTTATCTTAATGATGTGACTTAGCTTGTTCTTAAAAGCTCCGATGTTGTGCTCAAAAGCCTCTGGATGTGGTTCCCTGTCTCCTTGGCCAGGAGACCCCTTACTCTTAGAGTTCTTTTGTAGCCTTACTGACTTTCTGACTGTTCAGGTCTTCGCTGAATTGCCTTGAAATGGCACACTACAAGCCTGAGGTGAAGAGAGCTTGCATTTGCTGCAGGTTTGTGGCTTGTTCTCTGCAGTGTGTTACTCTAGGCAATGAGAATAAACTACAGACTGCTTTGTTTCGGGGTGCTCTGCTGCTGGACTTCCTCTTCTAGGCTGTGAAAAGAGACAATGGGCTTCTGTGGTGTTAAATAACCATTGTCTTGCTGGTGAGGTTTAACAAAATTTAGCAAGCATGACTAAATGGTAGGTAGAGCCACCTCTAAAGGAGAAATACAGGTCAGTACAGCTGGTGCGAACTGGGACTGGCTTCATAAACAGAAGTTCCAGAACATTTATTGCGATATATTTGAGAAGCACAAAACCAACATGAAGCTTTCTTGGTGGTGGTTCTGGGTGGTTGCATGCTAGTTCTTAAAAGGAGGCAGTTGTTACAAATTTAGGTTCTTGTAATGACCACTTAGTGTTGTGCCAGCTCCAGTGCTGTCGTACCGATGCCACGCAAGCATCTGCTCGCAGCAGGCAGGAGATAAGTATAATGTGAACTAACAAGGAAATTGTTCTACAAACTCTCCTGGTTATTGTTTGCCTCGGTGAGGCACTGAAGAAGTGTGCTGGTGGCTATAGGTGCCCAGATGTACACTGTCTGATTCTAAGAAAAAGCAATGATTCCATGCAGGCATACAACACCCTGATGTCCGACCTCTGGAAGAGCAGCGGGTTAGCAGCAGCTGCCACCTTTCTGCACCCTCCTTTGGCCGCGCCAGCCCTGCAGCGGGGCCAGCTGGGTCTCCGTGCTGCTCCTTTGGCTTCTGTTCCGCAGTTGCCGAGCTCTGGCACGTGAGGGCTTTGGCACGATGCTGCATACAGTCAAGTGCTAAGGGGAGGGTGATTCGTCTTTACATGCTGTCATCGGGCTTTCCCCACGCTTGAGCCAGACAGGGAAGTGAAGTCAGCAGACAACAAAAGGCTGGAGCAATAAGAGCCTGAGGTGTTTTACTAACTCTTCCTCTGAGGTGTCCTGTTTTGAGCTGCCTCTGATTCATTGCTTATTGCCCAGCAGAGCTCAGCCCTTCTTGTAAAACTCCCTGGCCTGGGAAATCCAAGGATATGCGTATTTATATCCTGTCTCCATTTTGCCTGGAGAAGGGATGGTCTACCAGGTCAGCGTGATGATGATTGTGGCAGGCGGGGAGGCAGCTCCTTGGGAAAAGTGCAGCTGCACCTCAGACCCTCTCTCTGGGCAGCATTGCTTTGCCGTTGTCTCAAGGCGCTGATGGCTTGCCATCACGGGTGTATTGGCAAGGCTTTTCCTGGTCCCTGCAGCCCACGCCTCCGTGATCTACTGTCTAGCCTTTGCCATCAGGCTGGGCTTGGGGGGAGAGTGGGCTGGAAAACGTTGGAGGTGTCTAATCCCGGGGTGGGGGGCGGGGGCTGCTGGGGAAAGGGTGGATGCAAAGCTTGTCTACCCTCAGTGGCTGAGGGCGTCGGCTCCACGCTCTTGGCTCCTGTATGGAATTCGGAGTAATGGTTAACAGCCCAGCACGTTAACCAGATCTCCGAATCCAGGAGCTGCCTCCGGGGCCACATCCTAGTCAGGAGCCCTTGGGGTACCTCACCAACACAGCCTAGCCAAGGGTTTTCCGTAATTTGCCTGGTTCCCTCAAATGCTCGTTATGGTGGTGGTTGTTCCTGCTCTCTCTGCTTTAGGACATCCTGGAGCCGTAGGAGCTCTGAGCCCCGGTCCCAGGCCATGGGAGTACGCAGCGTGTTTCCACCCTGGTGTCACTGCAGGTACCATTCTCCTTTGCTTGTCGGGACTTGAACGCACAGAGTCCTCAAAGAGCAGGGTGGCGAGGGGGGAATTAACTGCTGCCATAAGTGCTGGCAGCTCTCTGCCTGTTTCCCAGCTGCTGCAGGACCCTTCCAAGCCACCAGCACCCATGTCCTGTGCCGGTGTCCCTGGTGTCTCTGCCCTTTCCATCTCACCTCTGCCACATGAGGCCAGTAGCTGCTGGAGGGCCCTTGTTGCTGCTTGCAGAAGGGATTGAGTTCAGGTAGGCACCTACTAAATGCAGCTTGGCTCTCCAGCACACAGCAGCAAGATTGGAGCCTGTGCCTTGGATCTTCCCTCTCCCCGTGGCAAAGAGGAGCCAGGTGATGGCAGATGTGCTCGGAGAAGACACCCAGCAGCGCTCCGTGGTTCAGGAGTGCGTGCAACCGCTGGCTGCAACGCAGGAGCCCTGGGAGCCTCTGCCTGACGTTATGGAGCACTGGCCATGTCTCCTCCGGGCCTCCGACCAGCACATCTCGCCTGGGGATGCTGATTCAGCAGCCGCAATACCGGAGCACAGCATTTCCTAGGCATGACAGAATAGCTGGGAGGAGATGCAGCCAAAGGCACGTATCCGTGGGACAAGGCTGGGGTTGCGAGTGTTTACAGACTCACAGGGATCGGGAGGCCTGAACCTTCTGCTTTGCTCCTGTTTCATTCAGAGAATGCAAGCTAGGGAGGTGTTATGCCTCCATTTTCCTAGCCAAAGTCTGGATTCACATCCCTTTCCCTCCTGGGTGTTTATGGGTGGACAAGCTCTGGCAAAGCCTCTTGCTTGGGCCATGGTGGGTGAGTCCCACTTCGCTGTGGGGTGGGGGGCTGCTGCTCCAGTGGCACCCTGAGACATCCCGCCACTGGGCCTAGCCCCTCTTCTGCAATCGCTGCTGTAGGACTGTCATGTTTCTCTGAGACGTGCCAGGCTTCCAGCTGTGCCTTTGTGTCTCTCTAAATGAAAAAAGCCCAGGGCAGGGAGCCAGCAATGGCTGGCAGCAGTTCCACAGCCTGCTGTACACTCCTCTGCTGGCTTCCCCTGGGCACTGGGGAAGAGATGGGGCCCCTTCCCCCTTGGGGTGTTGGGAAGGGGTCCCTGGGGCACTCCCTGGTGCCAGGGATGGCTTTATGGAGGTGGAGAACAGGGCAAAGCTGGTTCAGCAAGCACCTTGCAGTGCGTGAGCCGGGACAGCCCCCTGCCATCGCCTCCGGCTCCAGCCGGCCCTTCCCCGCCTCTAGCAGCGCCCATCGGACAAGCTCTTTCCGCTTCGGATTATCTCTCCAGGCGGAATTGGCCACAAGCCCTACATTCCTTCCAGCCTAGCACTGCCCTGAGCCCGCGCCAAGCCCTGCGTGCTTCTGCTATCGCTCAGGGCTCGGGCCAGGGCCCAGCCTGGAGGAAACGGTTCTGCTGGCTGGGCGAGCCCCACTGGTGCTTGAGATCCTAAATGCTGTTGTTCTCAAGCTCCAGGAGGGTTGTGGTGGGTCTTGTGCTGGTGCTTGGATGAAGGTTAGCCTGATGGCCACCCCTGCTGCCCATCCTGGAGAGACCAGAGCTGCTGTTCCTTCCCAAAGCTCCCATCCTGCACATGCAATTCCCCAGGGGAGCCAGAACGTGTCCCCAGGTGGGACACCCGGTAGCCGTGAGCAGCAAGGCAGCCCTGGCCCTGCCTTCCTCAAGCAGAGAGCTGAAAACGCCGGGGCTGGGTCGCTGGCCTTATGGAGGAGCTCTCTGATTTGGGCTCCTCAAAGGCTTAGGGTGGGCGTGGGGTGG